AGGTGTGCATGTGGTCAGGGTTTTGATTTTTATCAATATTTACTCTTTTGGGAGATCGTTGAACTTTGTCATTTTGGAGTATATACTCGCATAAGAGGTGCATAGAGTTTCCGGATAACTCCTCCTACAGTGAACCATAGACCTGAGCACAGTGCTCCCATGCTTAACTTTGTGTATCTAAAAATAACACTTTGCATCTACGGAAGCATCATTTGTGTCTCCCAGACGTTGACTTTGTTATAATACAGATATTTCAGAGTGGAGTGCGGGGAGCATCACTTTGTCTAGTTTAAAATATATATTTAGACTAACTGATTTTTCGTTTGGATATTTATGAAGTTAAGATATAAATTGTGATTCATAACAGTAAAGAAACAAATCTGCAATATGGAGGCACAGCAAGTCCTCGTAGGAATTCCATGTGAGGGGATAATTTATCATTAAACGAACATCAAAACGGAGTAAAAACATTGATGAATTTAATCATGATTTCTTTGCCTGTGTGTTTTCGGACAGATAACAACCAAATGTATCGGGACGACTAAATTACGCCAGCTAATGAAATTATAGGAGAGCTTGTTTGGTTGTTGTTTGATTAACTTCAAGAAGCAATCATTTCAGGATAAGAATACTTCCTCGTCCTTTCTCGTTTGTTTCATATTTTTTATGTCTTGGCCTTTTATAGCCGACTATACGGTATGGGATTTTCTCATTTTTGAACACCTTACGGTGGCCTATAATTGCTTACATCCACTTCATTAGAATTTTGGTGGATAGTTGTCTCATTTGCAATCATACCACACTCCTTATTTTTATATTTAACAATACGTCCAATATGTATAGGGTCTGCATAGTTGATCGACTGGTATTAAGGGCGGGAAATGTAGACTTCCACTGGAACATGGTAGTATTTTGAATAGTATTGTGTCTTGCGACAGGCCACCTAGAGACTCAACGTTTGATTTTATGTCCCCATTCCGACTGGTTAAATTGTGACTGCGTGACTTTACATCGTGCACATTGGTTTAACTGCCGGATGATAAAAGATATTGATGTGCCCTTGTATATCTTATTTGTAATTTTATGAAAAATAAGCCATTGTCGAAATGAGCGATGTAGAGAAGTAACCACCAATATACGCCAATGCACTGAAATTCAACCCAACATCAACAGGCATTACGTCGAAAATGCCAGACAAGTTCGAAAATTGCTTAAAGGTAAAAGGCAGTATTTTCGTGAAAATGGTCATCCGTAACGAAACGCGCAATCAATCTGAAACTCATAATTGTTCACTTATATATGTAAACCAAAGATCAGCTCTTTATCCATACGCATAACGAAAACTGTTATATTCCAGATAGACGAAAGTGAGTGGTAGAGCCACAATTAAGAAAATCACGAAGTACTATACTGTTCCTATTGTGACATCATCAACAACAAAACCTTAGAATTACTTCATAGCCCAAATATGATTGAAGTAAATGTGATAGCAACTACAAAACAACAAAATACACAAAAAATTTGGCATCAACAAATCATCAAAATATCAATTTAATCCAATTCTAGAACTATGTGAAGTTGTCGAATTTTGATATGTTTTTATTTTTATCTTTTAACGGTCGAACACACTTTAGGCCATAATTAGAATGTCCAGCTCTAATAGAATCAATCAATCAATCAATCAATCAATCAATCAATCAATCTATATAGATATATATATATATATATCAATCAATCAATCAATCATACCTTGATTAATTAAGGAGAAAGGATATGTAAAAGATAGATTAAATGTGTATTAAAATTCATTATTTTCTCACATTTAAAATTCAAAAATAAAATGCAATAGTCCTGGAGGGGATATGGATTGTTCCGTACTATATTTTACTTCTGTACTCATACTTGTCAAAGTTTGGTCATGGCGGCCTTCCTCTGAAGTTGACTTTAAATTATTAAGGGATAATCTTAACTAAAACTGCAATACACCTCTGGTTAAAATGACTTACAATGAATCATTGTGGTTATATTTTGATATTTAAATGTTAGTAAAAGTAAAAGTAACACCATTTTAGAATTGTAAACTTTGGCAGCTAGTTACAGCAGAAAGAGAGAAACATGATTTGGAAGTTGAATGACCAAGAGATGATCTTTCAGAAGGTAAATATGATAATTATCAAATATAAATAAACAAAATGTGTTCATCAACAGAAGGAAATGTTTTTGAAAATTTAATATACTGAATACCATAAATGATTTTACTGGATGTCTCATCTTTTTAAAATATCCAAACGTTATCGATCGCTTGTTTTTTTACTGGCGTCTGGTGGAAATTTCTTAGACAAATCAAGGATGAGAACGAGTTAGAAATAAATTAAATTGGTAATGCAAAAATTGTGTCGACCCGGGCCAAATTTTATTTTTTGTATTGCATACTTGTAATCGAAAAGGAATGCTTAAAAGTTTAAAAGTGTTGCCTAGATAAAGACATATATAAAGGTTAATATAAAAGCTGTTGTAAGGGCTCTTTTATTGTGCAAAAGTATAAAACAATTTACATTTTGTTATTGACTGAAAATTCGCAATTTAGTAATCAATATTTTTAACTTAGTTAAAAAATAGGATGACAGCTTTTTCATCTTATTTCTCATGGGCATAAGTAAGGCTTTTAGTTAAATATGTGGATTTTTTTTATTCACAAGCTTTGCAAATGGAACAGGAAATGATTACCCTTCCAGAACACCCGAGTGTATTCCTCGATTTTAAAGGAATTGTTGTTGCTCGGTCTGTATAGTATTATGTGTAGTGTGTTTGTTGACTTTTCATTGTTGCTCGGTCTGTAGTATTATGTGTAGTGTGTTTGTTGACTTTTCGTTGTTCCTCGGTCTGTTGTATTATGTGTAGTGTGTTTGTTGACTTTTCGTTGTTGCTCGGTCTGTAGTATTATGTGTAGTGTGTTTGTTGACTTTTCGTTGTTCCTCGGTCTGTTGTATTATGTGTAGTGTGTTTGTTGACTTTTCGTTGTTGCTCGGTCTGTAGTATTATGTGTAGTGTGTTTGTTGACTTTTCGTTGGTTTTCTTTTTAGGCATGGTGTTGTCTGGTTTTATTCGACTTATGATTTTTGTTTGACCTTTGGGATATTATCCCCTTTTTCAATATATGTCAAATATTGTTCAAGTTAACGCAAATCTAATTAAAACCAATTTTGTGTGAACTTCAACAAAATCGAATTAAAGCATAATGATATTATCTAAGTTAACGGTAAAAACATCTTTCTTTATTTCTTTGATTATTCGATATTGCTTTTCAATGATCTATAACCCTTATTAGCTAAATATTCGAAACAGTATTGAATATGAAATTAATTTGAAAAGGCTCTAGCAATTGATTTACAGTAATCTTCGTTCTTGACGAATTTAAGAAATCAAAGATAAGTTTTTCAATGCGGCACCAGTCTGATCAACTCTCAATAAAAGTAAATTGCATTACACATATTTCAAGAGGATAAATATTAAAACTTGAACTGCTTAAAACTACCGAAAAGCGGTAACCTTTTAGAAGTCTGTTAATCAATTAATGATAATTATTAAATAATAATATATGTTTAATTATCAATCTGTTTTGGTATAGATGTGATTAAGTTGTTTGTTGACAAATCGCGTTATTGTGTTAATCTATTATGATCAGTCGTGTGGCTGACCGTATGTTCACAAATAAGTGTGAAAATCTCACCTGTGTCTTGTAACGCCTAGATATTCCGGATCAGCACCTTATTTGTCCCCATACGATATCATGGTTAGAAACGCCACATGAGTCACAGGAAAACGATTGATCTCACAACGGGGTCTTTTTGTATTTTATGTTTTAATTTCTCAAGAAATCAAACTTTAAACACTTTTGTTGAAATTGTTGATCACAGATAAATAAGAATAGTGTAAAAAGAAATAAACGTAGGTATTACACTGTAGACATATTTTAATTGAAAAATGGAAATTAAAAATAAGAAATAATCTTTAGTTTCTAAATTGAATAAAAAAACAGATGCATTTATCAAATATATAAATTTTTAATGTGGAACTTTATGTTCTAAATTATGGTATGGTCTTTTGTAGCATTCATCAGTCGGTTTGTAGTGTTTTAGTTGAAATAAAATGAAATTATTCATCTGCAATATACACATTTGACAATTTACTAGTATTTCACAACTGTTTATTTCTTTTACTACAAAGCCGTTGGATTTCAAACGTTTATCAGTGATGTTTTTTTCTCTCTCTCAGTAGTTTGTAAATGTATTTGCATTCTCGTTGACATGAAAAAAAACGTCCCTTCTTGAGAATTATCGTTTGCTGTTGTTCCTACATGTTTGGCGATACTTCTATTTGAAGGAAAATATCACTCACTGTGCTCGTAATAATTAAAAAAAACCAATTTTAACAGAATAAATTCTACATTTATTTAGTTGATCATTCACACATTAAAGAGTTTTCAAATACTAGTAGCATTGACTATTTTTTTCTTTCTTTCTTTCTTCCTTTTTTTTTTTTTTATCAAATCGATGTATGGGTAAAATATTAAGGAATGTTGAAAATGGCCCTGGAGGGAACCACATTCAGGGGAGGTTGACTCTACGTCTTTCAGCTCTTATCAATTGGAAAATTAAATAGAAAATTGGTATAAATTTTAAAAATAAATCGTCTGAAAAACAGCTGTAAAATCAAAACTTTGTATTTTATTTATCTTGTTTTTAATTATATTGATGAAAAATATTAATATCTTGACTTGGCAGAAAGTGAGGACTATTCCTTGTACATGTAAACGAATTTCTAATAGCCAATCAAACCTCGCCTATCAAATGACCTTTCACCCAAGTTCCAGGTGATTCGCCAATTGAAAAATACAATAAAATAATCCAATTTATCCTATAGTAATATTTATCTTTACATAAAGGTATAACTTAAAAGCTACTTATTATTTTAATCACAGTTTTTTGGCGAAGAAATGACGGAGACGGTAGCATATCAAATGGATGACAAAATGTTACAGGAAGACTCGGAAAATTCATGTAGCTCAGGTATTAATTAATTTTATCATAATTAGATTATATATTTTTAGCTTTAATTTCTCCTCCATAAAATATATACATGTACTTGCGTAATTTAAATAAAAAAATGTAGAAATGAAGATACAAGTCATATTTCGTTTTACAAAAGTTTGAAATAGAAATAAAAATGAAAAAAAAAATAAAGAAAGAAAAAATTAATTAATATCATATAAAACAAAATAAAAAAGTGGTAATGACCAGTTTTATTTGTGAGCTTGTAAATGCTAAGAAATTGAAACCAGAAATAGAAACAAACAATAAGCAGTTCGAAATCAGCACTTTTGAATTATGATTGTAAAAAATATAGCAAACTGTTTATTTGTATTTTTGCAATTTCACTTTTTCAAGATTCTGGCATGGAAGAATGTGGAACAAGTCCGATATCAAATGCTTCTTCGAACGGAACAACTTCGCCTACGTCATCATATGAGATGGACCTTCCAAAATCCTTCATACCATTCCGACCTCAAATTATTACACCTTCCGAAAGTTCAGCATTTAGTAAAATAAGTAAATTAGCTAGTTCGACTCAACATTCAGCAGTGTTTCCATCTTTACCCTTTGGTGCACCCCCTCCGTTTGGATATTTTCCTGGCTTATTCATACCTCCATGGACAACTGAAACAACCGATTACCAAGCTCTCTTGGCTCATAGTAAATATAATTCGACTGCTGAAGACCAAAAAGACAGTGAACTCACAACGAACGCGTTTACTGAAGTGAACACGTCCATCCCTTTTACAAACTATTTTCAGAACTTAACAAGGCTTTTGAAAAAGACAGAGAGTACAGAAAACCGACACGAAACCGACGAAGTTATCAATGAACCCGGTGAAATAACGCACAGAAATAAATCGGACAGGCCAGAGTTATATAAAGAAGCACTTTCCTCTAGCAGACAGATTCATTACACCGAAGATTGCAATCAAAATGAAACACCAAATAAAACTAACATTGCTATTCCACCGGCACCATTTTTCCCGAGTGGACAAGCTTTATCAATGTCTCAACTTCTCGGTTCTTCTCCGTATTTACAAACTCCTGCAACACAAGTTCCCCAATTGTCACCCAACGCACAGATGATGCAGTATTTCGGTGGTATTCAGCCTCATGCAAGTTTACTTCACCCAGCATTACTCCACATGGCAGGACTTAGAAGTCGACGAATCAATGCAGAGAAACCTCCACCAATTAAAAAGTACAAATGTGATGTGTGTGGAAAGGCATTTTCCAGAAGCAATACTTTAGTTACACACAAGGTAAGATTCGTGTTTTTTTTCCAAATAACTTCTATACTTGTTGGTCATGTTGGTGGTAAAAAAATATTTCAGATGATTCTTGATTTTTTTCCTCCATTCGTTATATTATAGAACCCCATAATTCTATTTTTTTATATATTTTTTTTTGTCGCCCATGTATCTCTTTTCTTTTTCTTTTTGCCTATTATTCTCTATTCTGTAAATCTCACCCAGACACTCATCCATTGCAAATATGTTAACCAATCAGTAGCTATACATTGTTTTGACAGAAAAATGTATATTATTTCGAAAAAAGATCGGCTACATTTTAAAGTTCTCTGTGAATTACATATACCAGCACCGTAATTTGAACCGAGTGCGCAATTGTCTGCTATTCTTTAGGCCAATTAAGGCATTTGGATTTTTAGTAGATAAACAAATATTTCCAAAAATTGAAATTATACCTGAATATATTTTTTTTTAAGTAGTATTCTTCCTTAATATTTTAAGTTATCTTGCCTTTCTTAAACTTATTGTTTATTTAAAGGTTAGTTGAATGAAATATTACATTCTTTTGGAAATACTGATGCGGGTTTTGCATTATATTGCTTAATGTTGAAACACTTCTGAACATTAACAAATCATTATTGCAAAAACGAAAATGGTGCCAAAAACCAACCAAAAAAAGAGTTGATGGGATATGCGTAACGTTATTAGTTAATAGTTCAAATACTATCGCCAACAATAACATTTTTGTCTGGAAGATGTAGAAAATTAAACAAAGAATTCTTAACTAGTAGTAAAAATTTATATTTTTATAAAATAATAAAATTCAATTTAAGTTGTTTGCAAGGATAATAAAATAAAATGTTATGGATCTATATGTAATTTAAATCTTAATTTTGAAAATGATTAATTATAAATTGAAAGATTTTCCAGAATACCATGAGAAAACATCTTTAGATTAATCTGGTTTACGACGTGAATAGTTTAATGAGATGATCGGATTATATTTAATTCAATTAATAATTCATAAAATCTTGATACTTTATAAGTCTACTTTTTTAAATGTTTAACGTTTTGTTCTAGTTGTCATTTTTGACAGTTTGTGTTTATAACCGAGACTGATTTTATTTTCCAAGTTCTGACAAGCAGCATTCCAATTTTAGTTGAAATATGACGAAACTGGTTTTCTCATTTTGGTTTCCAACTTTATGATATAAGAAGGACCTTTTGCCCCTAAGATATCACGGTGCCGTTATACACTGTACAGTTTTTGAACCCCTTTAACCTTCTATCCCACATATTTACTCATAAAATTCTATAACAGTTCAGCAATTATTTCAAATATTTATTTTAGAATTAGTTTCAAAATGTACTGAAATACAAATTAAATTTGTAAATTCAGATCACATCCCTTTTACAATTAAATGCGCTGTGCTTCCAATAATTGTTTCAAAGTTTAGATACCGTTTTATTATTCTAAAAGATTTTCACCTCTTCAGATTGTTGACAATAGTAATTGTCAAACAAATAGCGAACCATTCGAAACACTTGCTAGTTCCGGACACGCGACCTTTGTTAACAAATCTAATTTTGTGTCAATATTATCACTGTTTCGTATCAATATTGTGTTGAACAATTTAAATCACATTAGAATACATCTGCTTTTCACAGCCATCTTTAAATCATTCAATAAAATCAAATTTATAACAATTATACACGGATTAAAAATTATTGTCGCCATATGCGGTACTGGATAGTTTTTGTTTATATAACAACTGTTATCAAACATTTAGACAAATGGTTCGAAGTTATTTCAGAAGAGTATAAATACTCAATAAAATATAAATTTATAATACTGTATACAAAATAAAAAAAATAAAAAAATGCCAACTACTTAACTTTTTACTATATCAAAGTCGATGAAACTTTTGAATAAATAAACCAGAAATAAATCGGAAATTATTTATGAAAGTAAATAATTAGATCAGATTACAATTTAGTATTTGTATCGAAAACGTTTGAAATGTCGATTTTAAAAGCAATATAAAAAGGCAAAGAAAAGAAGGGTTTTCAAGAAGAAAGCAAACAAACAAGAAAGAAAATGAAGCCAAAAGAAAACAAAAAACAAATAAAAAACAAACAAAACAAAATTCAACCTCAAATAAATGTGTTGCGGGAAAAAAATTAACTACGATAAGCCTTATTCACATTGTGTCTTTTGATTACAATTATTCTTGAACCCGGAAAACCATATGTGAATTTTATCAAGCATTGAGGAAGATTTAAATTGTAGAACATAGTTAACTGTCAAAACATTTATTCAAATAAAAACTTAAACTAAATTTCTTTTTGTTACAGCGAATCCATACAGGAGACAAACCCTTCAAATGTGAAGTTTGTGGACGAGCTTTCAGACAACCAGGAAATCTCACGAGACATCGTCTGACGCATACAACAGTCAAACCATACGTCTGTCCAACATGCAACAAAGCATTCAACAGAGCATCTAATTTGCATACGCATATGCGCACTCATACCAACTTCAAACCATTTACCTGTCCGTATTGTGGAAAAGGTTTTCATCAAAAGATTGACATGAAAATTCATTGCTACACTCATACTGGTAGGTTCAAATTTATATGTATTTTCTGTTATTTTGAACGAAGAAATTTTGTAAAGTGCATGAGATTTACTTTTTCGAATAATGTTTGTGCCTTTATATAGGAAACGGTTCAATTTCTCCTGACCTTCACCTTGAAATATTTGTTATTTGCCTTTCTTATGTCCAGTCAAGTAACGTATGTGTATATCTATAGCTCCGTATGTATTCATTCTAGACATCTTTTGTCGCTGTTTTATTTTTCTGGCTCTGAGTGGCTTATATTCTTTGAAAGCGTCCAATTCGACTTGTTTTCACTTATGGAATTACTTTGTATTAAGTTAAATTTGTCAGAACAATTGTAAACTTCAAATAAAGACAGGTCTATCTATTTTTGAAAGTAAGTTTCGATCAAAATTTCGCAATGTCCAAAAGAAAATTTTATTAGATTAGAAGTGTCCACGCAAAATAAAAAACAAATTAGAATTTTAAAACTTCACTAAGAGTCGTTATATTTTGTATAGACCAATGGATTCAGCAAATTTTGCTGAGGGGGATTCTGCAAGCCACGTCTTTTGAAATTGGAAGAAGCTTCCTTATGTGAGCCTATTTATAAGTGGCCACTGGGCCACTAGGGTTTTCAATGTTTTGTTTGTTGTGTGTTTTTGTTTGTTCTCAATGTTTATATAATAGTTTGTGTTTATTTATTGTAGGTGAAAGACCACATAGATGCGATATCTGCGGTAAAGGGTTCACTTTAATCAGCACCCTCAATGCTCACCGACGAATACACACTGAACACATGCCGGTACCCGAATAGATGCCTTGGACCAATACATAAATCAGTCCCAGAAGATGCATAATATCAACACTGCATGGACTACCGATACATTGTTCGGAGACAAATACATACATAGCATGGATAATAGCGACCGGATAAATATTTTTTTTCTAAACAGTTTTTTATGTGGTATATTGCTCAGAAAAAGACTAGTCAGAATGTGAGAACTCATTTACCAGCTTTGAAATTGTATCATTCATTATTTTATTTTGTACATGTTGTGGAAACAAGGGGAAGAATGATCCTTTTCGTGAAATTTAATTTATTCTTTTAAAGTTGTATAACAATATGAAAACTATGCTAGTGTACATATAACGAAAAAGTACAAAAGATATATATACAGTGTTTCATATAAGTTAAAGTAGTTAATTCACTTCGTTACTCAATGAATATAGGGCTCTCATGTTTCTAACCTTAATAAATCATGTTTCGTTCTCAAAAACAAACGACTGGTAGTATTTATTGTTAAGTTTTATTTTTTCTAATTTTGTGTGCGTAATTTATGGTATTGTGCAATGTTATTGTTAAGTTGTAATGAATAAATGTGCTATTAAAATATGGTGTTTACTTTTACTGCAAAAGGGGAGGGGTGTATAACCATAGAGAGGATGTTGATTGAAAGCGTTTCATTTAATATTTCAAATCAAGATCTCTTGCATAACAATGAAAGTATTCCACAAATTTGTAGATCTTAAATCATCATACATGTTATTTTTCTCTGAAACACCTGACGAAAGTGTCCTTTATGGTTATGCATCTGAAATATAAGCAAACAGAATGGATATTGAACGGACTTGAAATGCCAACGCACTAATGATATGATTATATTCCCTGCAATGAATGTGCTCACTCATTTGTTGAAACTGAAACGGCAATGTCGCATTCATGAGAGTGCAGTAAGCTTTTGTTCAAACTTGATTGATATTCATCGATATTTAAAAGCAAACCAAACCTCGTTGGTCATATATCTTGCAGACGTAACACTATAAAACATGTTATCTGTCTCGAAAATAAATACCTATAAATAGAAATATTCATGCTTAGAAACAGTCCAACGATATGCTTTGGTATATACATGTTTAGGTCATGTGAACCAACATGTTTATTTTGCAATCAGTTACATAATTTAATCTACAAGACGCCAATATATATATATTTCTCTAATTCTTCGTCAATTTATCCCTTTCTGCACCCATTGTATAAAAAAAAATTAATCAACGTGTGGTTCGTTTGATCTCAGTTCTTCATTGGTTAAAATCCGATTATGACGTCGAATTTTCTTGCTTTCCTCTGAATTTCCTATTGTGACGGTATGAAAAAAGGCGGCCATGCCTGATGACGTCACATAGATAGAACACATCTTCTTGCAGATCATTCAAAAAGAAGGAATAAGTTTGCCTGCATATTGTTTGAAAATCATTAGAGAAACAGATTCCACCACCAAAATCGACAGTTAAATTTCATATATTTAAAACGCTCGGCGAGCCTCGCGTTTTAAATTTGAAAATTTAACTGTCTCGAGTGGATAAATATCGTATCACACTCGATGTGCAGTGGTAGAATCTATATATATAAACAAGTCTAAATTGAAAACAACGTTCAAACCCATGATTGCGTTGGATAAAAACCGCAATTTTTATACGTGTGCATGCAAAACAATTTTCTTGGTAAAGGGGTCTAAATACAGCACAAACAACATTTTCCAAAAGACCAAAAAAGTGACAAAGTATATTTTAACAAAACGCATTTGACTAGCAGGTCGAACAACGGATGTTCTTAAACCCTGCTGACTGCCATTGGTGATTGCCAAATAAAATGATCACCAGATGTAAAAAATGGATCTTAAATATTAATTTAATATCTAACAGAAAACAATAAACTTGCGGAAAAGATGGTATACCGCAAACAAAAGGTGAAAAAATTAGTACACCTTATCCGGATTTCGACAATTAATGTCTCTTCAGTGATGTTAGGAATCGAAACGGTATTTGGAAGGCCATATAATTTACCTTAATTTAGGATAGACTCTTGAATTGTGAAGAGTCGAAATAGGATGAACGGATCATATAAACCCGAAGGCAAATATAATACAAGCCCAAACGAAAAAATATAAACAAGCCTAAATTGAAAACAACTATATATATATATATATATATATATATATCATTGTTGGGCTGATGTTTAGACGAGTTATATATATACATATGATATATATAAAAATAACCGCGCAATATGACTGAAAACTATAATAGGGCGATCACCAATGCAAATATAAGGAGTTTGGCAAATTACTACTTTCCCAAAATCTCGCGGCTGTTTGCGGGCTGCAAACACCATCCCCCTCCCGGAGTTATCTCAAGTGAGTCGATAGTTGATTATGCATAGTTATAAAACTGATATATTGACGCCAAACAAAATGTTTCAGGGTACAGAAGATTTTTTTTTATTCTGAGGCTTACATGTACATGATTGTATTCCTTAGCTGACGTTCACCTCCTTTTTGTCTTGCTTTGGTTTATTGCTGTTTTTAACAGATTTGTCTTTCAACTTTCTGGTATTTGGTTTCGAGCACTACTGATGACATATAGAATTTCGAACTACATATATGCACCAAATTTACCTTGATTTTTAGCTATATTATTATTGTATCTTAAAACAGCGTACATATTTTTTCACATTATCACTGTTGCAAATACATTCTTTTTATGCCATTTCGCAACAGGAATTTAATAAATTAACGTACCAATTTTACTTACTATAGGCGCATTTATAAAAAATAATGTCTCTTCAGTAATAGTCGAGGTCAAATTATTCCAAAAATCCCAAACTGCCTAATGCAAACATTTAAGATGATGATCAAGCCAAGACCTAAAGTATAGTCAAATCCGGACAACATTTCCATTGTTTTAAGCACTTGATATCCTTCGTTCGTCTTTCCATTTGTAAACATTTCTTAATTCGATCTGCTTCAGAAACAGAGTATGCATAACCTATTTTCTTCAATCAATCAATGAATCAATCAATCAATCAATCAATCAATCAATCAATCAATCAATCAATCAATCAATCAGAAAAAGGTGATTAAATGGATTAAAATCATGATAGCCATATTCGTTAAACAACTAACACTGTTTTGGAACCGATCAACCTTAAATAAAAAATGGCTAATGAAGCTATCTGGTCTGACGTAACGCAATCTTATTTCCAATCATTAATTAAAAAGAAATCTAATTCGACAAAAAGTTCAGATCGACTGATAACTTGAATAATACAGCGCTCTCTTGTAATAAGTGTCCTCCAGAATGATCGTAGTGAATATACCTGGATTATTCGGGTGAATCGAATGCCTCATAAAAAGTGGGTCTAATTTATCTAATCGCAACACGAATACTATTTAGTACAGGACTCATTTATAACGTTGTTTTCTTTTATAAAATTAGGATAGTCTTCCCTTCATGGAACTATAGTCCCGTAGTAACGTGCTGGACTTGTGTGCGGGAGATCTTAAGTTCAATCCCTTGCCAAATCAAAGACATGTACAAAGGCTTTTGCTGCTTCTCTTCTCCGATTTTGGAGTAATAATAAAGTTTGGGCGGCCTGCTGTCAAAGTAAAGGAACTTACTTTAAATAAATCAAATTTAAACGGTAACAACTGTCCTTTCCTAGATTTAGATATTTCGGTTTTACACGGGAAACTCCACAGCAAAATTTACGGCAAAAGGGACGATTTTTCGTTCCCTATTGTTAATTTTCCCTTTTTGGATGGTGATGTTCCTTTGGCACCATCTTACGGTGTTTATATTTCCCAACTCGTTCGCTATGCCCGTGTCTGTTGTGACGTTACCTTTACTAAATTCTTCCACAGATATAAAGATTTGGTTTGTACCTGTAGAAAACTTATTTCAAACGGGATTGCACATCCTCATTTTTACGGCAATATTGTTTACCGTGCCCGAAAATTTAGAAACGATCCTGATAAACTTATCGATCCTTTAAATGAACTTATTCTAAACTTATTCTATATCATTAAATTTTGTTTTTATTGGTACTAATATTAATTTTGTTATCAGTAAATTAAAAGCAAACTAAATATTATTGTTATATACATATACACATTCATGGATCTACAATCTGTCGATACTTGTATCTTGGCATTGCACAAGGTCATGTTTTTCTCTTACTGTTTATGACGTCTTTACACTAAATCCATTGCATGTTTGATGTGTACGGATTGATAATTTAGTCTTAGATGCATGATTTTTTTTATTAGTTGTTAGTGGCTTTAAACTAGCTGTCAGTAACTGCGAGTACTCTCAGATCTGTTCTTAGTGTCTGTTTGTTGTTTGGATGTACAAGTACCCGGCCACGTCCACTTGTATTTGTATTATTTATATTTTTATCCATCTGATGAGTTAAGCCTCTTTCAGCTGATTTTTATAGTTATGTTGTACTGTTACACCACTGTCCCAGGTTAGGGGGAGGGTTGGGATCCCGCTAACATGTTTAACCCCGCCACATTCTGTATGTATGTGCCTGTCCCAAGTCAGGAGCCTATAATTCAGTGGTTGTCGTTTGTTTATGTGTTACATATTTGTTTTTCGTTCATTTTTTGTACATAAATTAGGCCGTTAGTTTTCTCGTTTGAATTGTTTTACATTGTCATTTCGGGGCCTTTAATGGCTGACTGTGCGGTATGGGCTTTGCTCATTGGTGAAGGCCGTACGGTGACCTATAGTTGTTAATTTCTGAGTCATTTGGTCTCTTGTGTCTTATTGGCAATCATACCACATCTTCTTTTTTTATATGTCCGTGTCGGGCTAATGCAAAATTTAATGAATGAGTAATAAGATGTATTGTTTTTCTATCATATAAGTTGTAATAACATATTTCTTAAGTATTTTTAATTATCTTATTTTTATCAAAATAGCCATTTCTGTCTCATGTCTACACATGCAGCGATATCATTAAATCTTTATGATTGTTAAACAAGTCGACGGATTAAGAAGAATGTCACTGCTCTCTGCTCTTACGACAATGGTGTCGCCTGGTACCAGTTCCACAGATCCCATTCCAGATCCAGATGTTTCAGCCTGCAATGGAGATTTCAGAGTGCCACTACTCGTATACAAAACGGAAATCAGCTGGGAGTTTCTGAATATTTTAATAAAAGCGGAGATCGTAATAGTTATTAAATTCATAAATACAACGTACAGTCCACGTTCTCTGCACGTGAAAACTCCCGTTGTGGTAAAAGCTGACAAGTTCTGTATTCCTTCATGAAACAAAACACGTGGAAACTTGATTACATTAGATATGCTCATTGATGGAAATTCTGTCGCTGAAGTACAAGATGTCACTGCAACTAAAAAAGAAAGAAATTAATAGGAGCTATCGATATGTTAAATTCGGTATAAAGATTTTATTTGTGATACGAATTCTGGAAATTCGTATTTGCGAATGTGTAATTGATTCATTATTAAATGAATTATCATTACCAATGTGAATAACCTTACACCGGATGTGGCCGATGGTGTACTATTGCAGTAGGTGTACTAG